ATCATCACGGGTTTATTACGAATCAACTTAACGGCCTGCTCCCAGTTGGCTTGTTAGCTCAATTGGTAGAGCGCTGCACTAGTATCGCAGAGGTCAGTGGTTCGAATCCCGTACAGGCCTGATTTTTTTCAGGTCTGATTTTCGCTATTGCATAAATAGCGCTCTCTACTGCGAGGATCGTGCATCATACGTATCTAATACCGCAGTTCAAAATATATGAACTTCATACATACATTGTATTGCAATGTTTACTTGCAAAACCTTTGGCATTTAATTCATTTTGTGCTTTATTGCAGCAATCACGTGTCCAGGGTTGTCTTCGCCAATGAATGGAACAAGAATTGGATGTTCAGTGAATGAAACTGAGTATTATGATACAGTCTGTCAGTTCACGTGTAATAATGGCTTCATAGGATCTGGTTCTCCATCTAGAAAATGTCAACAAAATGGAACTTGGAGTGGACAACAGTTTTCTTGTGAAAGTAAGTTCTCAAACCTTAGCAACGCTTGAAAATTTTAGCTTCTTGCTAACTGGACACGAGGACAGTATTGGGGACTATTAGTCCAAGCTCTTGGCAGTATGGGGCAAGCGCAGTGGGGGTTATCACAACAACGACCGAAGGCCAATATCGCCCAGTATGGTTCGAGTAAGTGACACAAGTAAGGAATGCATTAAAAGGCACTCGAACCACACTCATTGGTTTTGAGTTTGCCAACTCTCTAGGAAAAAACACCGCTTATGTCTGTTTTGTGGAAACAGTCCGTTTGACTAAATCCCAACTAATGAAAACCGCTATTGCTTTGGGAATTGTTACAAGCGTGTTAATGACCATGCATCATTCCTCTTTTACTAGTCATTAATTGTTCATCACTGACCATCGACCCAGGAGGTCCACTTAGCATGAGTTATTGTGGTAATCAGCATGGAGCAAAATGTAACTTTTCTTGTCCTATTGGTTATCGTTTGAATGGATCATCAGTGATAACGTGTGTTGCACCTGGTAACCAAAATCCTGGAGTGTGGAACGACTCTGTACCGACCTGTGAAGGTGAATTCGAATTACCTATCAATGTTTACGCTTTAAATATTCTGCTATTCATTCATCTCTTAATAATGATTGAAAATGTAACACTTTACTTTTTGCAAACACGAAACAGGACACAATAACTAATAGGAACAGAAATGATCGATGTAGGATGCCGAGGATATGCCTGTGCTATTTGTATTTTCTTAAAGAAGTATTGCATTTCCATAGTAAAAAAGGGTATGCCGTTCGCCCATACCTCTTAGCAAAAAAACTTTATTAAATAATTGTTTAGTACTTTTTATAAAACAGGATAGGTATGCATTTTACCTTTTTCAGTTGTGATGTGCCCTGTCCCGATGCCACCAGCCAATGGTTTTCGACAAGGATGCACTGGGAATGCAACAAAATACCCTTATAGCACAGAGTGTCAGTTCTCGTGCATTGAGGGTTACACACGAAATGGTTCTAGCTTGAGAAAATGCCAAGACAACGGGCTCTGGAGCGGAGGGGGGGATTTTTATTGCGAGAGTAAGTTTGAAAAATATTTCAGACTCAATGTGAGTTTTGTCTAGAAATGAATTGAACGATACTCACTTTTCCCTGGAAGAAAAGTGCTCAAATACTTCTGGTGAACTGTGAGAAAGAAATGGTTTTGGCAACAGTTTTTCCTTAAGCGTCCGACCCAGAAAAAAATGTATTGGTGCCACCAAAGACTGTTTTTCTCGTAATATCATTGTTTTTATTTTCTAGGGATACTATGTGAATCTCTTCAACTTCCTCCCAGTATGAGAATGAATGGTTCTTGCAGCCCGTTACCTGGCAACGCTTGTCAGTTTACCTGCAAACGAGGCTTCAACTTGATTGGCTCAGCAGTCAGGTGGTGTGATAAAGATGGATCATGGACCGGCATGCAACCTCGATGTGAAGGTAAGCGTACACAAAATTAAACCTATTTATCGCAAATTAGAGCTAAAAAATCCAACCAAACAAAATTATATCAATAATGTTCTAGTTTTCTACTTCAAAAGTTTGATCACATCCATTTACTTTCGCCCCCAAAATACGTCCTTTCCAATCCTCCACATGGAACTCTTGTGAACACACTCACCAGAGCGGTTGAAAACATCCATCAACATCTTTTTTTAGTTGTCGCCTGTCCAATGTTATCATTACCGACCTATGGTGTACTCTTGGGTTGTAACACCAATACGACGCAGATGTTATATGGCTCAGAATGTAGGTTCTCTTGTGAGGATGGATCTATCGCAACTGGTTCAACAGGGAGGAGATGTACAGAAAATGGAACGTGGACTGGAACAGATCTTTAGTGTGCAGGTATAAGATCAGACAACACTTGGAATCATGAAAATTAACAAAAATTAACATAGGAGAATTCTGCGCACTTTTTTGATTCGCGATGTTGATCATTAAACGATTGAAGATCAAAATTTTTTATCAGTGGTTCGCACAACGCTGCATCTTCCTGGTTATGCCTATATGGTCCACGTTATGTATCGGTGAATGGATCATCTATGCACGATCGTAAAACACAATGATTTGACCATCGTGGATTGCCAGTCGATACAGGATCGTCAACAGACTTTTATTGCCTGCAATTATCGTATTTTGCAGCAGTGGATCAAAATCTTTGCAGCAGTATTTTTAATGGCTTTGCAGTCGATTTTATTCACCTCTGCATAGAAGGATCAATCGATATACGATCGTAAAATGTATTGAATTGACGATCTTAGATCAATAGTTGATGAAGGATCGTCGATAGCCTTGTGATTGGGATTCGCAATCATTCTAGATCGCTGCAGTCGATCTAAAATCATCGCTGCTTCCCTTTTTGAGGCTACGTATCTATCTATTGCAGTTTTCTTTTTTATGGCTACGTATCTGTCTATGAATCAATGATGCACGATCATAAGACGCGATAATTTGACGATCATAGATCACGAGTCGATATAGGATTGTTAGTAGTCTTATATTACGACTTGTAATCATTATAGATCGCCATGGTCGATCTTGCATCATTGCAACCTTTACTTTTTATGGTTATGGGGTTCATATGAACCAATCGATGCACTGTCGTAAAAGGCAATAATTTGACGATCTTGGATCACCAGTCGATACAGGATCGTCGATATTCTAATGATTTGCAGCGATTATAGATCGCAGTGTTCGATCTAACATCGTTGCGTCATTGCCCTGTATCGCTGATGTCGTTTGATCATATGTATCTGCGCATGAATGAATTGACTTACGATTGAGACTGCTCTTTATCTAACGATTATAATTTGCCGTTTCAGCCTTATTCTGTTCTATTAATGATGTTGATATCGAGTACAAGGCGATAGCTGCAAGTTTAATGAAATGAATTAATCATCATTCAAGATTCTAGACTTTCAACTGAGCCTCCTTTTTTACCAGTTTTATGCGTTTGTTGCAATATTTCATTTAGTTATAAAAACAGGAGGTTTAAGGCCATGAAATCAGTCAAATCAGTCAGACAAAGAGGAGAGACTAAAAAGATTGTCAGGAAATGAACTGGCCGAATCTATCAAGGTGGAGAACCTTTTATAATGTATAGTTATAACCTTCCAACATCAAATTTGAACTCTAACCACGAAGTCTATGTATTCTTTTGATAATGTATTCTTTTGAATTTTGTACTGGAGAACGAGGCCAGTAGGGCTAATTCAAATTTAAACGAAAGAATATTAATCTAGCAGCCATTTATGAAAGTGGTCTATTGATCAGACTTACCAAAACAAGTCGAATGTCAAAAAAGTTTTCTTCTCTGAAGACCGTCTAGTCGAAACATATCTAACATTTGCTATCGACATCGACATTCGTATATTGCTCAGGATGGTCCCAGGAATAAAAGGTAATTTTCTACATTTATATTCATGTTATCAGTGATTTTCTTTTGAGTTTTCTTTTCCTAAGGCCAATACCGTGAGTAAAATTGGAAAATAAGCTCCTTGCAAGTCTTCTGTAAGCAAAAGCAATTGTCGGATGAAGGCTGGAAGGAGCTAAATATCATTCTCTTAAGATACACGAGGCCTCTGAAGGTTCAGGTAATTGATTTCTCTCGAACAGAATATTTTAGCAAAAACGAGCGAAAATAAAATCTACCGGGCATAGTTAAAATCTGTTTGTTACAAGGCACCTTTCTTGAGACTTTTTTTCTTGAAAATCCCCAAGGAATTGCTCCCTAATTCTGATTGAGACCTCACGCTTACCATCGCTAACCTCTAATCCCCCCTCCCCTCCCACTCTCGTTTCTTTGAAGGCACAATATTCGGGGCTTAAAGTGCTGCCCTCAATCGATCGTAAAGAGTAAAATTACTAATTTTTCGCATTGTCATACCATAGGAAACACAATCATGGAAGGAGACGAAAGGATTTTAAAAGTTCTTGGCACAATCTTCCTTCCAAGTCTCGCCTTTTGGAATGGAGTGATAGCCTGTTCGGGTTACTATCGATTTTCCTTTTTTAGCTTTCCCTTTCTCCGCTAAGATACTTAGAATGCGATCCCATGAGTTTCTTTTGTCAGCCGGCAAAACTTTGTGGCGTAGAAGTCTTGTGATTTATTAGCATTCCAAGATTTGAGTTGTGTTTTGAAAATTTCTGTCTCTTGATCTGATTCATGCTTTAATTCACTGCCTAAGCGTTTAACGAGCTAGAAATCGTTTTCCATTTGTAACAGCGTTTGCGGCTAAACTTATGCCGAATAAAGGGAGAACAATCCCTCAAATGTAGACATTGTGAAGCTCTGAATGCTTGAAAGCCGTGAAAGTAAAATAAACACCGCATTTCGCACGAAAGGTTTTCAAAACACCAAATCGTAGAGTGCTTTATACCAATGCATAATTAACGTTTCTACACGCTGCTGAGCACATAACTGTCGTTTCGGATGAAATCGATTAACGACTAGACATCAAGGTCAAATGAGTCCTTCTACGTGACTTCACCGCACCCATATTGGTGTTCCCAGACAATGAAAAGTCGACCATATTGATGGTTCTAAGTTAGTCCTGCGAGAGTTGAGATCTTTTTTCAATGCAAAGTCCTTGTTTTGCTTTATCGGAAAAACAAGAAAGCTGGTCTCGTATGTGAAAGGATTGTTATGTTGATTGCTCGAATAAAATTCGAAACCCTATATTCAAAAAGCCTTGTCACAATTATGTAATTTTTGCCACAAGATAAGTCAAATTTACATGTAACTCAGACATGGACGTCAAAGATCATTACTCATTATACAAGGATCCACTGAACAAGAAACCATAACCACGCAAATGAATTGTTTCACCGCAAACGAGAAATTTACGATACACTGAATAAACCTTGTTGTAAGATTTAAAACCACTAAAATACTCCGAAAATCTCCTCAGATCTCAGTACTCCTCTCCAAAACGTACTTCTTTGTATGATATCAAACATCAGCTTTATTCTGATTTCAATTTAATGTACAATGTGTGATATGAAATAGGAATAAGTCGTGTTTTCCCTCAGCTCTAGCTATGCTCTCAACTCCACATGGCTTGGACCTTTTTCATCAATTTCTCCCGAAGGTCAGAGATAACACCAGTCGCTTGCATTAAGAACCAGTTAATTCAGTCATACCGATCAGCATTTATCACGTACTGCTATCGATTGGTCAAACAAAATGACCCAGTGCATGTCTGGCATTGAAAAGAAAAACAATTAGCAGTCAATCGATATCATTAAGTGTCAGTAAGCCATTGTTACGGACCACTCGGCGACCCATTTATGTAACAGCAATGAAGGCGGGGGGGAGGGGGGGTAAAACCTTAACGAAAAAAGCGCTGGAGGCATCACTATGAAGATCAGATTCACTGGATAGGGTAAGCACGGCTGTATAAGCAACGCTGTCTAATCCAGATGCACAATAAAGGAAGTATAATAGGTAGCCTGCGGAAGGCGGAAGAGAAGAGGAGATTTTTTAGAATGAATGGGCCAGTTAGAATCTCTAGACAGAAAGCTTCCTAGAAAGGGCGACAATAAGACTTATTCGAGGTTTTTGATAACCAAATGTTTGA